AACCACCCAAGCGACGGTCGCAAAGGGGTGAGAATTTTTTATTTCTTCATGGCTGCCACGACCATCCGAGGACCACACGACGTTAACTTGTATGAAATGGCTTATAAGTAGGGTTCGGAGTTTTCGGTTTAAACCGATAAAAGTACGCCGAATTCATTTTCGGAAATTCGGTTTTAACCGGAAAAGGTCAGTTTTTAACTTCGGCAGTTTCGATTTAAACCGATAAAAACCGATAAAATTTCGTCGAATCCATTTTTTTAAATTTAGTTTTACCGGAAAAGGTCACTTTGACCGTCCAGTCGTACCGCAGAGCCGCGGCGAGCGTGTTTTCAAACTCGTTGTGAGGAAGTCTGACTGGATGCAAGCTCTGCATGTTGTGTCGTGCTTCAAAACGTCGCACCGTGTCTCTTTCGGGGATTTTGGCTCAGGCAGCGCGTCATCTCCTCAGCGTGCCAGCGTCCAGTGTTAGCGTTGAGAGGGTGTTCTCGAAGCTCAGGGTCATATATTAACAGGAAAGAAATAGTGTGGATCAAGAAGGAGAACCTGGGAAAGTACATGTTTGTGTGTACTATAATGAGATCACGCATTCCTGATGTACAGAAAGTGAGGTTCCATGTTTTTGGGGCATAGGCTTCATATCTGACTTGTTTGTACTTCTGCGTTTTTTTCTTGTTTCTTTTACAGTTGCACACATTTGCCAAATGAAGTGTCCATTTCTTTTTCAATGTATCTGTGCCGTTATACCTTGAGAGATCACAAATATCAGGGCTACGTACAAGGATCATCTGATCCGGTGTCCGTTGGTGTTTATTTTATATTCACCGAAAAAAGCCGATAAATTTTTTGCGGGCATAAATATACGCCGAAAAAAACCGAAAATTGAATTTTAAAATAAACACCGAAAAAAGTACGCCGAATTTTGAAAAAATAGAAACCGAAAACGCAGAACCCTACTTATAAGCCGTGACAATTTTTATCACACGTTTTAACATTCAACTGAGACAACGTGGGCTGAACAAGTAATGCTTCATAAGATTCAAAGAAATCAGGCAACTATTTCACATCATTTTGAGCAGAATACATGAGCACACGTAGATCAGGCAAGAAAAGAGTTGTAATAGTTCACAGCACGGCATTGAAATAATGGTTACAATGTGCAGCCCATCCATGGTTACAATATGCAGCGCATTATCCTCTTGAGTGTAAATCATCTGAAACCTACACGCTCACAACAATATATTTAACCGACAGTTTGCTTTCTAACAACCAGGTAAGTCTCGCCTGAGCTGGGTATTCGAAGGGAAAGACCCATGGTTTCACAGGGGGCGTATCTGGTTCACGCAGACATACAGGGTGTTTTTGTTTTATTCTTTACATAACTTTACATATTTTACAAAAAAAAAAAGGATTTTCTCAGATATGTGGATGCCGTCTTTCGTTATATCTGTAGGGGTCGGTGGACAATAAATGTGTGAATAACCGTTGCAATCTTTAATAATTAACCAAAATCGGTGAGTTAACTTGTTTATTGTCGGCTTAATTGGCCATGGTGCAATAGCAGTCTTAAAAGGAGTTATTATTAAAGGCAAACACAATTTCGGCAATTCGCGAAAAGGCAACGAGGTTCGCGATATTTATCGAAAAAGTTTGCCTTTCTTCGCTTGATTCACAAACCACGTTATGAAAATAATACGTAGAATAGCAACATAGTCGTCTTGATCTGTGGCGCCGGCGTGTCCACCGAAGATACGTTTTCGAGTAAGTGACGAGGGGACAGAGACAACTGTGTCATTCTTCTACACATCAATATCAGAACAACATATTCGCGCTTTCAGCGCGCGGTTTTTTAATTAAGCAAAGAAAGGCAAAATTTTTGCGATGAATATCTCAGGACAGGACGATCGGGTTGGTAGAGATAATTAAGCTTGAGGAGGAAAACGGGAAGGGACGGACAAACACAACAAAAACGAGCGCCTTCTTGCTTTCGCTCAAAGCTCGTTGTTTGTTCGCGAACTTTCTAAATTGAGTTGGCCTTTAATAATGGCTCCCTTCAAAGCTGCAATTGCAACACGGCCCATTAAACCGTTCATTAACCCTTTGCCCACCGCAAAAAAAAAAAAAGAAAAATATTAAAATACCGTTTTTTTGTTTTTTCTTTTATTACTCTGTTTTACCTTGTGTTGTACCGCAGGAAAGGCTACAAGCGCGAGCTCCTTGCTCTGGGGCACATCTCGGAGGCACAAGCTCTCGTGCGGTAAGAGTAGCTCCCAACGCTATGAGCCCGCGCTTCTAGCCTTCGCTGCGGTACTATAAAAGGTGAAACGGTGTGTATAAAATGCGGTACCGACACGTGCACTGCTCAAAGTAAAGAAAAAAAAAAAGGTGGGCTGCGCGAGTTTTTCTGGATAACTTGATACAAAAAAAAAAATGGGTTGTGAGTGTGTTTATACAGCCTAAAACTTGGTCTGCCTCACAGGGGCGACGAGTCTCCCAGCTGTAGATGAGCAATTTAGCCAGTGCAGTACAACCGCTAGCCTGGGGTCTTTAACGTGCATCACGCAGTAGTGATACACGACCGCACGCCGGTACGATGCTCATCCAGATCGAAATAACTTGATACAGCGGCGCCACGAACTGTCAATACAAGCGCCCTCACGAGCTCCCGTTGCCGAGCCGCTCCAGTCTCAACGCTACCCAAGTATTCTAGTACACTGTAACTAGCGTGCCTCAATGCCCTTCTCTTTAGGGTGATGCCATCGTTTGTAGTACCCGATGCCGACAGCACGCGCTCACAGGGAAAATACAAAGAAATCGCAGGAAACAAAATGTCGCCGTAACACAGTCAGCGCCACAAGCGCGTGCAGGGACACGCTCTTTCACGCGCTTCAGAACAAAAAATAAAAATAAGCGTTCGAAACAAAATGGCCAGATGTCATCACCCCAAGCAAAGCGCACATGAAGGCACCCTAACTGTAACGAGACGGTACGAGCCCTCGCATGCACGGTCGTCATGCCTCCTGTCAAAAAATGTTTTGGCGGTGTCACGCATGCACCGAACACTTAGTAAGATGGGTCTATTTTAGCAAGTTTGTCGTTGACGCCGCCTTCGAATTCATGAAATCGAGGGTGCATGATATCAGAGAGGTTGTTCTCTTTTCGCGACCATTGCGCCGTATTCACACTGGCGGTTGAACCGCGTTCGCAAAGCGGCTGCGAACGCGGTTGCTCAAAGATGCAATACGATTGCACGTTTGTTCCATGATGAAAGTGAGCGGATCCGCTTCGCGGTTGCGATTCGAGCGCCAGAGTGAATGCACTGTTAGAGCTGTAGTATTGGAGCTGATTAGATTGCCTTTCGATTCCTAATATATATAAACGATATTGTTAACGGGCCGCTTGTATCATGAGCCTACGATATTGTATGCTCATGATACTAACGTGTTCTTTTCATGAGATCGTCTACAAGAGCTTCAAGTAACTGCAAAGAGCTTGTTTGTAGAACTATATGTATGGTTAGAGTCTACTCAGCTAGTGTTAAGCACAAAGAAAAAAATATGTTATATTCAGATCAAAGAACAAACCGCTGGAGTAAAAACCACATATTCAATTTTTAAATTAGACATCAGATTTTACTACGGCACACAGATTCTTGGAGTATGGTTTGAGGAATTTTTAAGTTAGACAAAGCATGTAAATAACCTAAGATGTAACATCTCACGTTCAATTGGAATGCTGCGCAAACTAAGGGGAAACCGAAACTGGCTCAAGCTACAGTTGTACTACGCTCTTGTCAATTCTCGCTTACAATATTCTCTATCAGTGTGGGGCCGAACCACAAAAACACGCACTGAAAAAAATATTCCTTTTACAAAAGAAGGCTGCAAGAATTATTGAAAATTTAGGGTACATCGAAAAAAGCACCCTCATTCAAAAATGAAGGTTATTACAAATAAAATATGTCCTCTCACACAAATTGCCGATCCTCATTTTTGATCAGATAAAGCACGATGCGACATAGTTCTTTGATACTTATCTTTATAAACCTGCGGAATATAATTTCAGGCGCACCGCTTTTACAAAACCAAACGTTAAAACTAACTGTGGAACTCAAAAACCAGATTACCGATTTCCTAATTTACTAAATAAACACCCAAACAATGTACGAGAAGCACAGCAGTGTAGAAAAAAGCCACAAGTCCAGGAAAAAAGTAAAACATGTTTTCCTTGAAGCTAATCGCTTACCTTAGATTATTGTTAAAAAATGTAACTTTTACGTTTGCACATGGCAAATAAAATGACTTCAATATGTCTTTTTTTTTCCATGGTGTTAGGAAGTGTTATGATATGTTGATGCCAGACGGGTGTTGGATGATATTGTGGATAAGGACAATGTCAATGTAAATAAATGCAGTTTTCTCTTGTCTTTGTTTCACAATTTGCTTGTTTTGTTTGTTTCAATTTCTTGGATTTTATTGTGGCGCATTGCTTATGTTCATTTGTTTATATGAATACTATTGATCTTAATAGTTCACAGATGTCTAGGTTTATTTTAATTTTGTTCCTTAATTATTGGGGCGGGGGAGGGGGGGGGGGACACACATCAGAAGGCTTTTTGCCTTTTGTTGCTGCAGCCACCCAGACACATGTGTAACACATGTGTGCCTGAACTAAACTGTTCTATTCTATAATGTCTTTGACTTTTGAATAGGGTCAATTACTTGTGCAGAGAAAAAATAACAAAAAGTGAAAAAAATTTCCACAGAAGATGTTTTTAAAAGGTAAATCAACTGAAATACAATTGTTTTCCTAAAGACGAAAGCTCCCCGGTCAATCTCTTTCCCTCAGCCTACATCAACAAAAAAAATCATAGCGCAACTTTCGTTTTTGTTGCAGGTGCTCATTCGAATCATCCACGTGATGTCCTTCCTCCTGCTATAAATAGGAGGAGAGATAAAGAGAGAGGAGCATTTGTTACGACCTATGAGAATATTTTTACCGTCGACAAAGATCTCAAGATGTTCGTAGTATCCCTCTTCATGCCTGTTGTGGCGGGGAACGTCTTTATGGAAAGCAGTATTCGGCGTGTTCCGGAAATAACCGAAAGACAGCACACGCCGACGAAAACCTACATGATATTTGACCCCTGCAACACGAACAAACGTGAGACCACTTTTTCCATCCATCCACGTAGACCGAACAATGTTTCGGGGATATCATTATGTTCGTTAATAGCGACATATCGGGTGCAATGTACAGTGGGCCAATTTTTTAATAATATGACGCGAGCGTCGACCGCCGGGACGGCCAGCGCTGTGCCGCGGTGGGATGCGGCGACACGCGAGAGATTATGCGCGTGCGCACAAAGCCCTTTCCTGTACGAGCGTCGTCTGCTAGGCTGTTCCTTTGACCACACACAGACCCTGTTGATTATCTGCTGGCACAGTTAAAGGGGCGATGCAACAATTTTTGTACTTTGCGCAAATACCGCTTAAAACGGATCCCTGATAATAATGACCGTTTATCACCCCACACAATGCAAGTTCCAGAAAAAGAAATTAAAGAAAAACGAGCACCGGTTCACCCCCTCAACTCGCAGGCAGAACAAGCAGGAAGGAGACTGGCCGGAGTCAGGACTTTCGCAGACGCTGTCAGGAAGACCCGGACGTGCTCTAAGCGGACGCGGCCTCGTACTCTACTCCCATCTCGGGCAGGTGCATCGCGGTGTGCCGCCCGAACGGTGAGAGGCGAACAGCTGCCTCTTTGCTCGGATCACTGTCCGTCGCAGAAGCGGAGGAAGCGGCAATGGCCTTAGCTATAATTAGCACCCAACATACAAGGAGATGCGATCCAAACGAAATGGTTACCATACTCACCGACTCTCAGGCTGATTGCAGGGCCTGGGCAGGAGGACTCGTTTCTGAATGGAGTAGAAGAATCCTAGCCCACCGAACCCACGAAGAACTCCCTTTGATTCACATACTGTGGACACCCGGCCACACTCTTCTTCAGGGTAATGAGAGTGCAAACTCTCTCGCTCAAGGACAGTCCTTCCGAGCAGCCCGGCATGGGGAAGAGGAGTTGGTCGAGAGCAACTCGACTAGACCCGTCTGCAACCGTCAACAGTCAGACGACGAAACCGAAGAACGCCCCACACAAAGTCCGCAACTCGGAACCTCTTATCAGGTTACAGAATATTACCGATCTGGGCGAAGGACATATCCACCTCCACATAAAGACTTAAGCAGACGCGAAGCTACCGAATGGAGGCGCATACAAACACAGACTTTTCCAAATCTACACCATATTCATCTCTTCTTTCCTGGCAGCTATCGAGGCACATGCCCGGGCTGGAATTCCCCGACCCCCACACTCTATCACTCTACCTGGCCTTGTCCGACTCCACTCGGAGAAGAGATTCAACCCCTACCAAATCCTTCCACATCCTCCTGGGAGACTGCCCTACTCGGCTCGGGCCCTGAGCAACAGCGAGAGCTGATCGCTCGGGCCAGAAAACTAGTAGTAGCCTGCGGGGCCCTGGACGTGGGGACCATTACACTATATACCGCAGCCAATGCAACAAGCCATCAAAACCAATCCAGTGATTTCACCCTGCCGTGTGACAATCTGCTTCCACGCGCAGTTCTACCCAACGGGAAGGCCACGAGTTAACGATGGACTGGCCAAGATAACTCGTAGCGACGGCTGCTGACAACGCAACGTAAAACGGAGTATAGACAGGGTTTTCGCTTGATGTTCGGTATTATCAACTGCGTTGTTGCTCTCGTCATCTAGCCTATGTAGCCGGGTAGTCACACTTTTTTTTGACCAGCGGGCGTGCGCACTTTTTTATGGCACCTCGAGTGCCTATAGAAACACGGGAACGTGTTATGAGAGTGTCGATGGGCAGCATGACGCAAAGGGGTATCGCAATAACAGTCCGGGTTACACAGGGTAACGTCAATAGGATTTTGAACGCATTTCAAGAGGAAGGCGTTCATCGGCGATGCACTTCGACATTGCGAGCGCCCTGCTCTCCCTTGCTACGGAGCGGGGGCTGAGTGCGATCAACGGAATAGCCTAGCAGACCACGCTCGCACTCGAAAGGGCTTCGTGCGAACGCGCTTAATTTCTCCCGCATAGCCGCAAGCCTCCGCGACACGACACTGGTCGGCCCGGCGGTCGACGCTCGCTTGATATTAGAGAGTTTTAGTAGACCGTTTTCGCTTTCTCGCTCCGCTCTATGGAAAGCGGGGTCGCCATCGCGCACGCGTGACCTGCTCTGGGATTTGAGCGTGAAGCGTCAGCTCCGCTTTCCTCGCCATTTTAGTAAGCGCGTTCCACTCTCAGTAAAGCTCGCCACTTGAAAGCATGCTTGGGAGCGCGCACGACCGTTATGAACCTCGCTGCACTAAGATGGCTGCCCAGACTTTGTTTGAAACGGCGTCCTCAAGAAAAAAAATTGCGGTGGCTTAGTTCGGCTATGCCAGGATATACGTAGCGTGAGCTTATGCGCACAAAATGAGAGGTGCTACCAAGCGGCTCCGGTGCAGCGTCAGACTTGGCTACTGCGCAACGGAGGCTCACAGCTGGGCACGCGGCGCCGCCAGTGCGTCTGCCGCGGCTACGAAGCCACTCCTCTGGAATGTGCAGACCGGCCAGGCACGCGGTGGCAGCGGAGCGCGCAGCGGCGGCGGCTCCGGCGCGCCAGCTGTGCGTCGTGTGACGTCACTGCTGCTCGCGCATGCGCAGCACGGAGCACGGCTCATTATGCGAGCCACGCGAAAGTGCTCAACGTCGGAGAGTGTAGCTCACGCTACAAAACGTTTCACGGTGTTCGAGAAAAGGTGACATACTGAGCCTCCGGCTCAGCAACACTTCCTTTGATTTGATTGCTCTCAAAACTCTGACTGACTGACTGGTGTTCGAGAGCCTCTGGCTGCTTCGGGAAACCGCTGGTCACAATCTTTTTACGGACCCTGACCGGTGGAAACAGATGCTGCCTTGTCTAAGTTAGCGGGCTTGACTTGTTTAATCCGAGCAGTCGGCAAACGAGCAGATATTTTGTTAGGTTATTTTAGGCAGCAAGACAGTGCAAATTAGCTAAAGTGATTGCTCCATTTATATCCCTACTCTTCTGTTGTCCCAATGAAATTAGTTTTTTCTTCTTCGTTTTCTTCGGTTTGCGATAGGGGTACCTTGGTGTTTATGTGGACTGCGGAACACCGTTAGCGGAAACAACCAAAATATCCTGTTCTTATTTTTCACCTTAAATTCGAGGGATTGGCATCACCTATGGGTGTCGAATAAAGCGCTCGTTAGGGGCACTAATTTGAGCAAAACACTTTTAGCTCCCTCAATAACTGTCAAAGAAATAAACTGCAAATAAAAGCGATTTTGTCGTGTTCGTATTAAGAGTGGAGCGCAGTGTACGTATGTGCCTTGGGAAATGACATAAAACCACTTTGCTTCTTTTTCGTCTTTTTTTTTTCAATTGTTTTTTGAAAGTACATTTTTCGGCTCGAGCTCCTGCCTAGTTTCAGCCTCACTTGTGCTACTTTGTTTTCTAGAGGTGCAATAGAAGGCTACGCCCCCCAATGCAGGTCTACATTTACACTACTGAAGCCAACAGTAACATTGTAATTTGATTACATTCAATATTCACATTCACACCTGAGAAGTAAAATGGCAGATATTAGTAAATGTTCTTTTATGCAAATATTTCTAGATGCCTTTCAGCCTATAGTTGGACAAGTATTTCGCTAAGCACAAAATATTTGATGTCATTCACTGGGATCATTTTATGCATTCCGATATTGAGCCCCCCCCCCCCCCCCCCCCCCAAGAAAAAAAAAAGAAATATGTTAGACCATCTGCATCACGCCCATGGTCTTCGTAGGGTTTGTCCAGCTGAAAAATTTTGCCGACTCACTGTCTGGTACTTCACGACGAGCACCCTAATGTGACCAGAAAAGTATGGCTTCTGATTCTTTGATGGATGGCATATGGGCGTGCTGTGCGGTCAACGAAACCTCAACCGTTTCCAGGGGTTCTCCCTTGTCTTTGACGGCCTAATAAAAAGAACAAAAAGGCACTCTTACAACACGGCAGCATTTAAACACTACCAAAACATGTGATATGAGACTTTACTCATATAAGATAAAGCTATTTCCATGGTAGGGTTGTAAAAAATGTGTATCGTAAATTAAAAAAAAAAAAAATTTAGTTGTTCCTTAATTCCGCTAAGCTGTCAAACTGTGCATGCGAGGTCCGCTACGCCGGACTTCGAAACGAAACTTCTGAAAAGCCTTTTAATCTACTGTTATTGCTGTGAAGTCCAGCGTCGTGTTTGCTAATGCTTGCATTGTTTATGCCTGTCTGGTTTTCATCAGACAAAATCTTGACGTGGAATATTTTTTCAACCGTTCTTGGTAACTTTTTTCAAAACACCGCCGGGTAACATATTCGGCCGCCATTATTTGGGCATCGCTTTTAGTGCGAGACGCATGACTAGAACCAAGTTCACATCCAGCATCGACGCAGCATTTCCGTCTAATACATTCAGACTCGCATCCGTGACAAACAATGACGCAGCTCTCTTGGTCCCTTGACGCTTGGCCAAAAGAAGGCGTCCTCGAAGAATAGTGGCAGCACTTTTAGAAAGGCTGTATTCAAGTCCATTATTTTCTAAACTTACCAAGGAAATCCAAGGCGAACATTTTCAGACGCAAGTTAAACAATTTAAACATTTGGTGCAAATGTGAATAAATAAACTTGAGAGGAACGGTTTGTTTGGTGCGGCTTGCGAGCGCTATGCTTGTGGGTAACTTTCAGTGGCATTTTCGACAGGAGGGCGCGTGCACAGGTGTAATTGGCGTTCAAGCACGCGTTCCCGTACATCTGACTGCATAGCCATAGAAGGATCACAAAAACGCGACGACTTTACCCAAAGCCCCTTCATGTTTCAAAAGTAGTGCAATGTCCGTCCATGCTCGAGGGACGTGCAACGTGCAGCCCTTGGGGAGATCATGGCGGTACAGCGCAAGACTGAGCTAGATTTCAGACACCATTAACTTCCTGGAAGTGGCGCGCGGCACGTTCCTCTAGCATTTCTACAACAAAAAGTTATAGCCCCTCTATCCTGGGAAAAGTGGCGCCATCCA